ATCCCGGCACAAGCGGTGTGGGTGTATATCCTGGTGCAGGCGGCACGGGCGTATATCTTGATGCGTTTGGCCCATCTTTTTTTTGTTTCTGGATTGCTCGCCGCAACATATTCTTGAATTGCTATAATTATAAATAAATAAAAATGTGTAATACAAAGTTTTCCATACTTTACCATAGTTTTACTAAAAAGTAAAATGTTAAAATTAATTCAAAGCCGTATAGTGGACTTTCTGAGACATGCACAAATATTAAAATTAACACAAAATTATTTTTAACATTTTTGCATGCTTAGAAAGTCTACTATACGGGTTTGACTTAATTGTAACATTTGATTTTTTATAGTGTAACACCATATACACCATTACACTCTATTTTACTTACTTTATGTGTTACTGGCGCCGGATTTTGTGGTGCACGTATATATTCTGCTGATGGTACTGACGTATATCTTGGTGCAGGAATGAATTTTTGTGGCATCCTAGGTGTATATCGTAGTGTGGACGACATGATATGCTGTGGCGTGGATGCCATAGATGTATGCTCTGGCGCGGATGCCACGGATGTATGTTCTGGCGCGGATGCCATCAATGTGTGTCCTGGCGCGAATGCCGTGAATGTATGCTGTGGTACGGATGCCATGAATGTGTGTCCTGGCGTGGATGTATGCTGTGGTGCGGATATCATGAATGTGTGTCCTGGCGTGGATGTATACTGTGGTGCGGATGTTATGAATGTGTGTCCTGGCGTGGATGTATGCTGTGGTGCGGATGTTATGAATGTGTGTCCTGGCTTGGATGTATGCTGTGGTGCGGATGTTATGAATGTCTGTCCTGGTGCGGATGCCACGGATGTATGTTCTGGCGCGGATGCCACGAATGTGTGTCCTGGCGTGGATGTATGCTGTGGTGCGGATGCCATGAATGTGTGTCCTGGCGTGGATGTATGCTGTGGTGCGAATGCCATTAATGTGTGTCCTGGCGTGGATGTATATTCTGGCGCGGATACCGTGGATGTATGTCCTGGCGTGGATTTCATAGATGTATGCTCTGACGCGGATGCCGTTGATGTATGTTCTGGCGCGGATTTCATAGATGTATGCTCTGGCACGGATACCGTTGATGTATGTCTTGACGCGGATGGCGTTGATGTATGTCCTGGCACGGATTTCATAGATGTATGCTTTGGCGCGGATGCCTTTGATGTATGTCCTGGCGCGGATGCCGTTGATGTATGTCTTGACGCGGATACCATGGATGTATGTCTTGA